CCTGTGTCCGGCCACGGCCCCTCCCTGCCCGCAGGTACCGACCCCAGGGATGCTTCCCCAGCGATGGATGAAGCCTGGATCAACTTGTCTTCACATTCCTGCACTGAAATTTGCTCAAAACGCCCCCAAAACACGTGGGGTGGGCACAGAGGTGTGAGAGGCAGGTGCTGGTGTTGCTGGCAGCACAGACACCACAGCACACACCACCCCAAAAGCCAACACAGACCCACGTGGGAGACCAGAAATGCCACAAACCCCAACTCCCCGCCGTGCCACCCTCTCCCCTGCTCTCTGCAAGCACCTGCCCTCTCTGCCCAGCAGCTACCCTGGTTTTTAACTCACAGCCTCCCTCCTCTGTGCACACCCACAGCTTCAGGCCATGTTTTTGTTCATCAAGAAAAAAGTTGGCAGTTCCTTTCAGCCGTCGTTGGAAGGCAACTTCTACACTGCCCAGTGCTAGAAATCAGCACCAGGAGAAGGCACAGGAAGAGATTTCCTTTTTCCTCCTGGCAGCCAAGGGTAAGGCTTTCTTCTGGCAGGCCAGCCTGACCCACACCAGCTCTTCTAAGCCCCGTTTCCCCCCTCCAAGGCTGCCACAGCACACTGACGGTGACAAAACCCCACCACTTCCAGAACAAGGAGCAATTCACTGCACAGTAAATCTACAGGAACTCATCTCAGCCCAGAAAGATTGGGAAAACATTCTAAGAGCACCCGAATGAAACTCAGCAGCTGAAAAGCCCCAGAGCTCATCAAACGCTCCTCAGCAGGGTGCTGGAAAATGCTCTTCCCTCTGTTTGACATGGGGGCAGTTTCCCAAATCACTTTGATCACGGGTGTTTCTGAGACTTTAAATCACACAGAAACGTCTGCTGCTTCTCTAGCTGGGGCTTTCCCCCAGCTTTTATGTGAAAATCCCTATTTAAATGAGTTCCTGTATTCTAAACAATAGAAATTTAACAGCATGAGCCGAATTAAAAGAAAATCTGAGGCTCTGGGTCCTGAAAGCAAGTTTTGAGAATTTACTTGAAGCTATTTGTATGAGTTACTCATTACCAGCACAACGGGACCTCCAAGGGTCCCTCACCCTAAAAGCAGCCAGAGGAGCATGCTGGGGGAGGACTCCAGGATAACTCTTCACAGCTTCTTAATCAACAGAAAACCAGCAAGGTTCATGTGAACAGCAAACCCCAATCTCAGCCAGGAGATGGGCAAAATCTGATGGGTTTTCTGGAACTCTTCTGCAGAGGACACAGAGCCTGGGACCTCCAGAGCGACCTGCCTGCCCTGTTCCCTCCAGGGGAACCACCAGGGACTCACACCCACAGCCAGGAGAAGGAATAAGGAGCTGAAATGAGCTGATGGAAGGAGCAGGATGGGGAGCAGAAGCAGAGGCCAAACCTTCCAGTGAGGCCACTGGGGCTCCTCTAAGACAGCCAGCCACAAACAGGCTGCTCCAGGCTTTCCACGGAGGGAAACTGCCCCCATCCTGCCTTTCTTGCTCAGTTTGAGGTTGTGGGGAAGGCTGCAAGAGGGAGACAGCAGTTCCAACGGCAGCTGAAAATGAAAATCTCACTCCCACCAGTGTTTTCAGGCCAGAAAATGTGTGAGGGGTTGTGCTGAAAGCCAAGAGCCACGGGCCACAAGGTCTCTCAGAGACACGGCAGCAGATGACCCAGGCTGGTGTCTGAGCTCCCTCCCAGGAGCCCTTTGCTATCTGGCTGCCCAGGGAAGCTCAGGAGGGGAACCACCTGCCCAGAATTATGTACTGGGGGCCCTCAGCTGCTGTCACTTCCCACCTCAGTCCCTCCAGACAGCCCCAGGATCCCAGTGACACCCTGAACCCCCCACCCTGGCCAGGCTGTGCTGCAGGGCACCAGTGGGTGTGAGGACTCCAGGACCTGCCCTGGCTGTTCCTGACCCACACTGCCTGGACACAGCACCTGCTGTACTTGTGTCACCTCCCACCCCTCCAGCACCTGGAGGTGAAATTCAAGGCTCTAGGGAGCTCACATGCTTGGGGTCAATTTTCCCTCCTCTAAAATCACAGGTAAAACTCCCTGAAGATACATATGCCCATGGAACTGCAGTGGGGGAGTCCCCTCCTGGAGCTTTGGGTCACTCACTGAGGGGCTGCACGTCCCCAGGAGAAACAGTGTCCCAGTGAAGCTCCACCAAAGCTGGAGCTCGGGGTGGTTTCCAGCACAGCACCAAGCTCCATCCCAAAAAGCAGCAGCAGCAGCAGGTGGAGGCACTTAGGGCAGGAGGCTGGACGGTCTGTTGGCCTGATGGAACTCCACGTCCAAACCACCAAGCTCCTGAGCCTTGGGCAGGTTTGGATGTTCACATGGCAGCCGAGGCAAGTGGCCACAGACGTGCAGGAGGTGCTGACAGCCTGCTGCTCTCCATTAGTTCCACAGCAGATGCTCGTGCCCCTGTTTAATGCTCAGCACAGCAACTTGCAGCACTCAAAACAGAGGCTCATGGCATTTACTGGCACCTGTTCTGCTCCAGGTGGGTAGGTGAGGCAGTCTGGTTACACGGTGTGAAGTGCAGGCACCTATCCTAGCTGCATTCCAGCTACTGGAAAAGAGGCTGGGTTGAACCACGGTGGGTTCTCAGCACAGGTTCATTTCAGGAGTCCTGGTGCCACTGCTCAGCTGATTTATTGGGAGTTTCCTCACTAAAAAGATCTTCAAGGACGTTGTGCCATCCTCTGCCAGTCAGAGCCAAGCGTCCCTCTTTAGCAGAGACAGAGGAGGACCTGACTAGCTTTCCACACAGCCAAGATCCACAGATGCATCTGAGGTTTTAAACTGAGAGCTTTTTTCTTAAACAAAAGCTTTGTACCTTGTACACGAGGGGCTGCACAGCTTGGGCACCTACAGAACACACCCTGCAGGCACTTCTGTCCTAGACCTATCACACGCTGGGGGAGCTGATCTCTCTACACAGCAGGAGGGGTCAAAGAGGGAATGGATTTGCCTTTCTGTTTTCTCAGCAGAGAACAGAAAGTAAGGGCCAAGCTCCCTAACCCCTTGCTCAGATAAGCTGCTGTTATTCATGGGAGCAAATCTGTTTATAACAACACATTCATCTGAGTGCAGGTCGTGGAGCTGGGCTCCAAATCCCCCCGTCACAAAGCCCCTCACGGCCTCGGGTCCGTTCCCACAGCTCTAAATAAGCACCATTATGAAACAGCTCCGTGCTGGGCCAACACCTCAGAGAGGAGCAGGCTGGGGCTGAGCTGCAGGAGAGCTCAGGCAGTGCCTGGGACAGGGAGCTGCTCCCACAGGGAGGATGAGGATGAGTTCACTGGAAGGTCCGAGGGTGCTGTTTGGCACAGGCTCCTTCCTTTTCCTAAAGAATTAATAAAAAGAGAGAGAGTGTCTAAAAACTGGTATTAACAGGTTGATGTCCTCCAGGGAATCAGGTGAAAGGTGCATGTCAGGAAACACTCTGCAGCCTGTCCCCAGCAGGTGGGTGAGCCAGCCTCTGGCCTTCCAGTTGTGCACGGCAGGATCTGAGCTCAAAGGCACGACACCAGCTTGTGCCTTCACGGGAGAATCTTCCAACATGAGGCACGAGGACTCCCCAGCCAGCATGGGAAGGAGAACTGAGTGGTTCAGGGAACACACCACCCTCCTGGCCAGGTCACCACGGCTGGATCCAGCTGGAACCCACAAGCTCTCCAGCCTGGGAATGCAGCTCAAGTCTCCTAGATCCTCTCAGAGGAACTTCGCTGACGGGCCAGACCCAGGCCGAGGGAGCGGGCGGGGAGCAGGAGGCTGTGTGCCCAGGCTGGGTGCCCAGGCTGGGTGCCTGGCCCCATGGGGGTGCTGGGGGGGTGGCAGTGGTGCCTAGAAGCGGTGCTGGTACCCGCCTGTGCCACCCTCGATGTGCTTCAGGTGGCAGGAGTGGCAGAGCAAACGTCCCTCCAGCGGGTAGCAGCGGTGCCCGTCCTCGTCGTTCAGCTCCATCCCGCAGTCCTGCAAAGAGAGGCCCTGCAGGTCACCAGGGCACGCTTCACCCCCCAGTGCCAGCTGCTGCCAGCTCCAGGGAGGTGAGGTGGGGCAAGGGCAGGAGAGGCTCAGCCAGCAGCTCCTCCCTAGGGAGTGCAACACGTGCCCCAGGAAGGAAAGCAGCCAGCGCGGGCACCCGAGGGGCAGCCCCGCACAGACGTGTGCCAGGCAGCTCTACTGAAGGAGCTTTGTCTTGGTGATGTCTCACACGTGTCTGGGTCTCCTTATGCTCTCAGGTGGGACTAACCCCCTGCATTGCAGGGGTTGCAGCTGGACTGATGTGAGGGCAGCCTGCTCAGCCAGGGCCTCCTTGCACTGCATTGCAGAACTGGTTGAAAAAGACTTTTAAGATCGTAAAGTCCAACTGTTAACCCAGCACTGCCAGGTCAGCACCAAATTATGTCCCTCACACCACATCTTCACAGCTTGGAAACCCCTCCAGGGGTGGGGACTCCACCACTGCCCTGGGCAGCCTGGCACAGGCCCTGAGAAACCTTTTGGGGAAGAAATTTTTCATCATATCCAACCTAAACCTCCCTTGGGGCAACTT